TCACTCTTGTAGTTAGCCATGTATGGCGCGCCTATGTGCCAACATGAGTGGAGCTCCGCAACTCCCTCCCATTGATCAAAATGAAATAGAATCTCATTTATTCGATTGATGTCAAGTTCTTACTATAAAAATAAAAATAAATGATAAGCAAATGGAGAAGAAGAGAAAATGGGTAAATGACGCAAATAAATACACACCCTAGACAAAGTAAGTTTTTTTTTTTGGGAAATTTAAGCGTCATACTTTAATGTTATGTATGACTATGAAAAATATTATAGGTTTGTATTATAGCCCGTTTGGTAACACAGAAATTGGCCGAATTGACTGATTCTTCTTAAATTTATGAAGTTCTGGCTGTAGTGGCTGTATTGGCTGATTTATGAAAAATTATATTTAAAATATATGTTATTAATAAATAAAACAAAAAATTATATGAAAAATAGCTAAAATGATTCTCTACAGTAACTTCAGCCAATGCAGCCAGAAAAGTAACTCCAACCTTACTTTTTTTTATTATTACACAATTCAGTGCATGAAATCAAAAGTTACGTGTTTGGTGAAAAACCCGACTGATAAGCCTGATAAACCGAAAAATGGGTCATCAAACGGGCTCTTAGTCTCCAAATATGTCAAAAAATTATGTGTTTTAGTTTTTGTAAGTCTCAAATGTGGGTTGGGTGGGGCAAAAAAAAAAATACATACCCGGAGTATATGGTTTGGCAAAACATTACATAATTCTGTCTAAATCTTTTTGCTATTTGGGATAGTCTTTCATGTTGTGGAGATAAATGGGCTCATAACTAATGTGCAAGGTTGGGGTTGAAACATCTACTATTAGCCAATATAAATATACTAAGCTCACATTCAGTGGCGGATCCAAGAAATGAAACAATTGGGGGCGGAACAAAAATGACGTGAATGATGAAGAAGATATAATGAAATACCCGAATAGCAAAATTTTGTAATACAATACATAAGAATTTCCAAACTAAATAAAGTATATTACAATACAAAAAAACCTAAAAAGTGAATCACAAATTCACAATCGCTATCTTCCAGTTTTCAACTTTTGAAAGAGATCAATAATAATTTAATTTGTAACGATTCCAAATACATCTCTTTCTACTCCGTATAAAGTAAAAAAACAATCATTTAGAACTCTAATTTCATCTTACTAAAATTAGAAAGTTACTATACTAAAACGAGGGCAGTTCATATTAGCAGATCCTGACGGGAACTGCGGTGCGGAATTCATTGTTTGGGTGGTTTCCAATGGAATTTGTTGATGAATTTTTTTGAGCATGTTCTTCATTAAGTCTAGTTTATATATATCAAATTTCAGCCCACAATTCAATTGTGAAGATAGTTAAATAAATTCTTGAAATATACTACGTTTTATATCTTAAAAGCTTATAATGTCCAATGAAGATTAGGGTATTTAAGGAATTAAAAAAATGTTGGTGTAATCAGCCAGCTTAATTGAGTGGTACTGTATGTTTTGCCGTCTGTACTCTATTATTAAAGGGCGTAACTTCCGTTTAATTTCCATCTGTGCGCTAGCTACCATCCGTTCCATCTTCCTCTCTAATCCTAGCCTTGGATACACAGTCCGTTCTTTTATCTCTCGTCACTCCCAACCTTGCCAATGTTGCCATCACACAGCTCTCCCGTCCACCCGAACCTCCCAGGAGGTAACCGCCCGGCTCTTTATTAAATTTGTTCCTTCAGCATCTTCATCTTTCATAATCTCGATCTCGAATTCGACAGTGTCATCCAACTATGTTTGAATTTTAAATGTTTAAATCTACCAGACTACCAGGTTGGTAAAGCTGGAGGAGTCGAATGGAAAACATGTCTGATAATGTAAGTGTTCGATTATATTTGTATATGTTTAAATCTACCAGACTACCATTCATTCTCTCTGTGTTGTTTTTATGTAGTGTTTAATTTCGAAGAGGAGGCAGAATTTCAATCACTTGTGATACGACAAATACACTTAGCTTCTACTATGTTCTACTCATGCTGGCAATAGATTGTGCACATTGGATTGGAATACTCGTAAGTTATTTATTATATTGAAAATTTTCCCTTTTATCATACTTTAGATGGTTCTATGTCATTTACTAAATGATTATACAATGGATATCTTAAATGTAGTATTGTCCTTCTCTAATTTTTGTTCCCCTTCATATGTGGTCGCCTTTTAGGGTCATAGGTCCGATCTTGATAGTCTGAGTTATATGTGATGTTATATGGGGAAAATGGTGCTCACCAAGTGTGTGTGAATTTGCCTGAATGACGTTCATTGTAATTTATGTGAGATATGATGTCATTTAATGTACTTATACCTCAGAGTCACAGTGGATCCAAACATGTTATCATGCTCTAAAAAGATGAATAAAAATGTATTCAAATACCTGTTGGATTTAGAAATAAAAAAAAAGTTTTTAGTTTTGTATTCCAACGGTAAAAGGGATTAAAGGTCTCATGGGAGCAGGCCCCTGCGTTTCTAGGAAATTTAAGCCTGAATGTGGAGCATTTGGGTATAGAAAAAGGGATAAAAGTGGATGTTTACTTTCATTCATGTTTATAATAATTGACCTTAGTGGAATGAACTGATATGAGTGTTCATAAATGTGAGTCCTACTTATAAATAACATGGAGAAAGGTAGAAATTGATTCGGTATATTGAAACTTTTGTGAATAACTAAATCAAATCTTATAGAAAAGTTTTTTTTATTTGTTGTCTTCTTTAGTTATTAATGTTGTATCAATACAATTTTCAACTTCTCTATTTTATTGTGAAGTAAACACTTTTCCAATAACATGAAATTGATTGCTCATGAACATGCAGGTGATGCATTGATTAACTCGTGTTCACATCAACAAAAGATTTCTAATATATGAGTTTATACTTCATGGTATCTGATTAGTAGTTTTTTTCCTTGTAGACCGTAAGTGGGGAGACTTACAAAATGCTTGGTGAGATTGGAAATCTAAAAATCAGATCAATCCCCCACGGAGAAATAACACCACTCATATCCAAATTAGAGTTGTAGATCGTTCTTGGAGATTTAAAAATAACAGGTTATAGATCTTTTTGATATATTGTTAAATCACCAAATCGATGTCAAATAGTCAAGTTGTTCAAGTAGAACCAACCACATCATGTTAACACGCCAAATACTAGCAATACATATTAACACGCCAAAAACTAGAAAAATCAAATAAGAACTAGATATATTCTGATATGTACTACATATATTTTGCTATTTTTATATTCTTATCATATGGATTGTTGGTACAAGCGTACAACTATAGTAGAGGAGGGACATTACTAGAAGAATCTATAAAGAACATAAAAGTAGTGAAGTAATAGCCAAACTGAGTGAATGTGTGATAGATGGTGTGTTGTGCATGCGGTTTTACTTGGTTTTGAACAAGATTTTGCAGGTTCTGTTTTTTCCCTGCCTTTCAACATGTGGTAGTCTTGCTGCTCCTCACATCTAGAGAGACCCACCTGGGCTGCTGCTATATGGTTTGGTGATTAAAGAAAGATTCAGTTTTTTTTCTTGAGAATTAATTTGTGGTTTTACTATTCAAGTACTTTTACTATATATCCACGTTCATGCTGGGAATTTTGACAATCTGGCTAGGATTTGCCCAACTTTTTACTAAACTTAAGGTGGAAAAGGGTTCATCTTTTGTTATTATAAATATGTTATTGCAGTAAAAAAAATCATACCAAACATATCTTCTATGCTTACGAATTCACTAACAGTCTAACATACTATGGATTCCAAGCCATAAGTTGTGGTGTTTATTGCCCTCAATTTATAGGCTCAAGGGGAAAAGTGTACTTTTGATATTTAATTGTGTTTTAGCACTATATTACCTATTTTTACCATAAAACATGTGAACATATGTGAGTGCTAAACCTCAATATGGAGAAAAAGTCGAACGATGAGATGAGAAGCACATGACATTCATTTGATATCATTGTAACAAAGCTCTTGAAAGCTAAGGTTAATATATCATCGTCAATTTCCATATTTTCTGGATAATGCATTGAATTTATTTTTTAGTATATAAGAGTTTTTATTACTAAAGAATGAGGGGGAGGGGTGTCATTTAAAATATTTATCTTGTGTGATGATACTTTTCTCACACAATAAACAATTAACTCATCATAAAAAAGTAATGAGAAAATCAGTTATTTAAAATTGTACGCACAAGTGGTACAACTCTATTTACTAACAACCATTTCATTCTATTATATCTATGCAGTGGCCCAAATTTTAAAAATGTCTTTATTTTCAGTGTAAAAATTGTGTGTAATTGTTTTTTCAAAAATATTCTTTGTACGGGCCCAGTCTGGCCCAGTGTCCTGTCTCCGCCCCTATATCTATGAGAATATTATTGGGCATTTCCTCCTCGCGCATGGCGCGAGCAAGAAACTAGTATGTACATATAAAGCGCATGATCGGTTCAGCTCCTGACTCGAACAGGACTTTACTAAAACTTCTATAGGGAATAAATTATACTTCGATTGTTTCCTTATGGAGTATTATATAAATAATACGGGTACATAAAAAGGGAATGATCATCAAATCTACACATTAGTATTTTAACAATTTAGCATCAATACACAATGACACTTAAACACATACGGAGTAAAAAGTACACAATAATCATTAGTGAAAAATACTCAAACAATTAATGCTTAATATAATAGACTTAAATGAGAGAGTGAGAAACCGACACTTTTCAGTTCATCTCCATGATGCCATAGCCGATGCTTGTCTTAGTCTTATTAGTTGTCTGCTCTTCGTTCCAATATAGTTATGGGGGCATTTCACTTTTTTTATTGGGGACAATTATGTTGGAGAATTTTTTTCCTTGTATAATATAGATAATTATTGCCAGTTTATTGGGGGCAGCTGCCCCCCATACCCAAGCTATACATCTGCCCCTGCTCACATTACATAAGATATCTAAAAGTTTATGTTTATTTTAATTTGTGATCATTCATCTTACATTACATCAATAGTCACCATGCAGCATCTTGACCAATACTTAATAATATGACCAAACTATAGTAAAAAGTATGTGTCATTGATATTTTGGTAATCTTGCAAGCTAAAATCACAAATTGTAACAAAAATGTTTATTTTAGTTGTCATCACGCAGCCCGGTACAAAGAATTTGGCAAGCGAGGCTTCGCGATAGCAAGGAGTGGATTCTGAAGAGAAAAGTCACGCTTCGACTCAACTAAGGGTATTGTGGGTGAAATAGGTGGAGTGGTCCATGTGAAAGCTTGGAGAAGCCTAGCAAACAACATTGTTGTTATTAGAGAGCCTAGTCTAACTCCAACACACCCTCGTCTTCCTGTACTGAATGAAAGCACCTTAGATTCAAGATCTGTCAAAACCACTTCATTGGTTGGACTTTGATTGAGGTGCCTTTCTGGAATGAACTTGAGTTCATCCTCCCATACCCTAGGATTCCGACCGAGCCCATAACGACTGGCTAAGATAATACTACCTTTGGGAATGAAATAACCACCGACTATTGCATTTTCGGAAGAAACATGTGGGACATTAAAGGGGGCAATGGGGTGAAGACGGAATGTCTCACGTATACATGCCTTTATGTAGTTTAATTGAGACAAATCAGTTTCATGGACAAACCTCTCTCTCCCAACCACATTGTCTAACTCTTGTGTAGCTTTTTCTAAGATTTGAGGTTGATTTAGCATTTCAGCCAATGCCCACTCAAATGCATTTGATGGGTTATCAACGGTTGCTATCATCATTTCCTGCATTCATAGTATTCAGTTAGGCAAAAACATACTACCTCCGTCCCTAAATGTTCTTCCGTAGTACAAATGGCACACAGATTAAGAAAGTGAGAATTGTGTGGTGGAGAGTTGTGCAGAAGAGAGATAAATGTGTAAGAATTGTTGTGAACCACAAATTCTTTGCCAAAAAGGGAAAGTGAAGTTCTTTTTGGGACGGACGAAAAGGGAAAGTTGGAAGTTCTTTTAGGGATGGAGGGAGTACTTACTTTATGTATTATGCATTAGAATTCAAAATCTAACTAAAAGTTGGGGAAAAATTTGATCTAAACAATTTTGCAAATAAGTAAAACCAAACTTGCATTTTCTCATCATTCACAAAAAAGGTCCTCACCTGAATTGACCTCATTGTATAGGGATAGATGATGCGTACTATTTAGTAGTAGATAAACACCACATTTTAGAATGGTTTTACATTATGTTTACTTAGCTTTTGTACAATTACGATGTAATCTTTATCTTCTAAAATTAAAGAAGAATTAGAAGATATTAAGATATTTTGACATGTAAGCAAAAACATGATGAAAAGAAGAGGAAGGAGCTTGAGGGCATAAGGAAGGAGCATTGGAGACAAGAGGAAGCTTCATGGAGGACAAAGATGTGTGAAAAATCGGATATGATTCGACCCGGAGATCATACGAGATCAAATAAAGCAAGTGAACATGCAAAAATCAGATTATGTCTTAGACCCAACTACCTCACTTCTCCTATAGAAACACCTCTTTCCTTCCTATTTTAGATACCAATTTAATCCCCTCTTTCATATACACTTTATTCTTGTAATTTAGGCAGTCTTTCCATCTTGGTTTTGCTACTTTGAAGCTTAATGAATTGTAAGTTGTGAGTTATTTTCTTTAATCTTCTTCCTTGAATATTAATTTTTCCCTTAATACTATCTCTATATTAATGTTGGGGAGTGTACTAAGATGACAATTAGTTAACATCTCGACATTAGTTAGAGTAGTATTTATTGTCTTCTTTTATATTAATGTTGGGGAGTGTTACTAAAATGACAATTGTCTCATATATTAATTATTATTAGAATCGATCGACGAATACACTTGTTAATCGTTCGATCTTTTCACGGTAGTAAACTTGGATTATTAATGCATGCGTCTCATGGTTAATAATCTAAGGGGAATTAATTATATTGATTAAACCAATAAACCGCTTGTGTTGAGATTATCAATTTCAATCATTTTCATCTTGAATTTATTGCTACTATCGAGTAAATATACGGCGCGTGTTCTATATTAATTCGGTAGTAAGTTTTATTAATGAACGCGTCTCGTTATTAATAACTACCCTCGATGAACTGGATATACTCCTCGATTGAGTATTCGAGAGGAAGATAGTTAAAGATATAACCGGGATCGACGAACTTTCATTAAGTGGATAAAAGCAAAACCAAGACTAATTACCTTTGATATTTTATTTCACTCATTTAGGTATTTTATTTGCTTTCTCAATTATCAAAATATCCAATTCCCCCTTCCGTTTACTTTTATTTATTACGCTTACACATACGCGAAAAGCTCCTTTCCATGTGGATACGAAGTCTACTACGCTATACTACGGTATTAGCCCTTAGTAGTGAATTTAATTTGAGGCACACTACGGCAAAGTGCTCGTCAATAGAATACACATATGCATAATATTTACAAGTTGAGGTCAGATTCAACGATTAAATGCAGTAAAGTGATATCCTACGCATATTTTTTATCTCAGCCCAAAATGAAGTTTGATGAAAATATGGTCTATTATCTCGCTTTTTGTTCCACATATATTACCAAAAACATGTTTAATCAATTCATCTACATGCTTGGTTATATCCATTCTAACTGAACCGACAAGTGTTAATGGTTAAATAGAAAATCACACACACTTAGTATGTCTAATCATTGGAATGGAATAAAATTGCAGTAGACTAGGGATGACTTTAGTAACCCATGAGTGAACTAATCACTCATCATTTTTCGAAAAGTATATAGAATTTAGACTGTGAAGTTGGATGGTTGTAGCTTGAATTTCAACATAAGTTTACTTGGGTAGTAATGTCTTGTATCAAATAGTTCATAGTTAAAGTACTCCCTCCACTTATTATGAACTATGTGTCTGATTTTAGATTGCACAATTATTAATAAAGTGGTTGAACATTAAATATTGTGGTTTATATTTACGTAAAATAAAGTGAAATGGTATAAAACGTATATTTATTATGAAACAAGTAATAAGAACTTACTTTAGGACATCCCAAAAAAAGAAAACAAGACACATAATTTGGGATAGAGAGTATATTTTTGCAACTTACCTGCACACCAACAATACTACATATGAACAACAAGGTAAATAATTAGGAATAAACTTAGTGAGCACCCAAACACGCTCACTATGGAGCACATTTTAGATAAATTTGTCATACTTGTTGAAATGAAATATTTTCTACCACATAACATGGCAATGGTATGTGCTCCATAGTGAGTAGCTGAGCATGTTGGCGTGTTAACTGTATTTATTTCATCAATTAATGCATATACTTACAAAGATTAGGTCTTTAATCTCGTCATGAGTGAGCAATGGTGATCCATCAACCTCATTATGGAGTGTAATTAGAACATCAACCAAGTCATCTTTGATCCTCTTAGTTCCATTTTTCCACATTGAGATCCTCTCATCGATAATAGGATCAATATACTTTCTAGCACTCTCAAAGGCTTTATTGAGCATGCTGATGTGGCCGTCAATATCGAATACACCAAGCCATGGCATGTAATCAGCAATGCCAAACACGAAGGTATAGCTGAGTAGTGTGAACAATGCCTCAACCTGCTCTTCCTCTTGTGGCCCAGGCGACCTTCCATTCATATTGTTATTATTGTCAAAGTATCTTTTTCCAAGCGTCATCCTCCTTATCACATTTCCACAATAATGTCGTGCGATAGATCTCACATCCACAACTGATGAAGAGTTATTGTATACGGAGCACACAAGATTATCAGCTTCCTCCATTCTTTTACCTTGAAGCCAATCATGAACGGCGGGAGATAAGACATGAGACACGAGAATTCGCCTCAATTTTTTCCACTTGTCATTGGGGGGCATAGAAAAGACACCCTTAAATCCATTACTGGTGATGTTTAAGGATGTGAAAGTTGGCCTTAGTGAGAAAACTTTGTCTTGTTTCTTTAAGAACTCGTTTGCTAGTTCGGGAGACGTGACAGGGATGACGTAAGTGGAGCCGAGCCGAATGCAAGCGATTTCTGTTTTCATTTCATCCATGAGTTTTAGTATCCACCGTGACGGAATCATCATTTTTTTTGCTTTCACCAGTTGTGGGAGGCTTCCTAGTAGAGGCCAACCTTTTGGGCCCGGAGGAAGTGGTGGGAACCGTCTTTTGGGATTCCTATGGAATCTCATCGTCACCATCGTTGTTGCTATGATAAGCACCGCCCCGATTATGCAAGGATAATAAGAGATACTCCCTCCATCCCAAATCGCTAGTCCCATGTTCCCTTACAGAATGTCCTAAATTGATAATATCACTTTTCTTTTTGTCATATCAGTTTTGTATAAACGTTCATTTAAATTTATGAAACTTTGTATAAAAAGGTACTTTGATTTATTCCATCTTTAAATTTGTGACTGAAGCTTAAAAGATATACAACCATTAATTTGGGACAAGAAGACTAGTTAAAAAACACAAAGTTGACTCCATCAAATACACGATTATGGGCTGAGACAATTGACAATTTTCAATCACGTACATTGCTGGATATCTATAGATTTAAGAGCAATGAATATTTTATAAGTACATGAGATATTAAGATTGGACCTGATGAGCTTCTAGCAAATTCAGATGCTTTACAAGCAAACTCAAAAGGAGGGAAAATAATACTAAATGAGTTAATAAAACAAGCTAATAAAATGAGCTTTAATATTGAGAAATGTATTTATTTAGATGATAAAAATAAGGATATTACATTATATACTCGTATTAATATTATTAGTTTGTGCACTCCACTTGAACAAATTTTCAAAATGTAACCATATTGCATCGACAATTTTCAAAATGTGCACTCCATTAGTTTGTGCACTCCACTCGTATTACTAGTCTATGCACATATTTTTGTTGTTTGTCCCTATTTGCCAAATGTGTGATATAGAACAATATGGTCAATATCAATGAGGTGTATCATATATGGGTATGCAACAATCCAAGATCAGATTACATCAAATTGAAATAGATAGAATCGAAATCGAAATAAAAATTCCCAATATTATTGAATCATACGTAAATTTAAGGTAGGAATCAGACGTGAAGACACTACAAAAGTCTTGGATCTAAGATCAGACGGATAAGTAATGGGTATGGATTCAATCCTTGCTAATGTATTTGTTTCAATATTCCTGATTTTCTGATCTCGATCGTAATATAATCATTCCTAATTGTGATACGTACAAACTCCAATGGTAGTATTTAGTAGTGCCTTAAGGTACTCTTTGCTTTGAGATGAACCTAAACTCATTTATGCTTAATTTTTTATTTACCTCATTCGTTTATTTTAATATTTTTCTATTTGATGAAAATGTAATTCTTTACCAGAATTTGAGGTGAATTTGGGCCGAAAATTTTCACCCAAAGGCCCACTCTTCACTCCTTCATCACATGGGGTTGGACTAGGGCTGGACTCGGGCCGGTTCGGGCCCGGTTCGGGCCTCGGGCCAGGAAAGGGAGGCCCGAGCCCGAACCGCCGGTGGCCGGTTCCGGTCCCGGTTCCGGGCCAAACCGGGCCGGGCCGAACCGGCCCAATTAATTTTTTTTTGTTCTCCTATTTAATCCCCTACCCCTCCCCCTCAACCCCAAACCATCCCAAACCACCTCAAATGACCCAAAATACCTAATCCAACCTAAAACTTAAAAAAATTTCAAAAAAAAAAAAAAATTAAAATCCGGCCCGGACCGGGTCCGGACCGGCCGGGCCGGTTCACCAAAACCTGGGACCGAGCCCGAACCGCCCAGCAGCCGGGCCGGGCCGAACCGAACCGGTGGACCCACCGGGCCCCGGGCCGGGCCGGGCCAAACAGTAACCGGGCCGGGCCGGTTCTAGGCCGGGCCGCCCGGCCCGAGTCCAGCACTAGGTTGGACACATGTCTGGGTGAAAAGAACCAAGTTTAAATTTTCACCTTATTTACTCAATGGGTTGGGGATGATCTTTTAAATTAAATTGATCCTAATATGAGTATTTTATGCTCTATTTGTCTGACTGAAATGCAGACCTTTTGAAAATAAATAATACTTCAATCAAGAGATTAATCCCAAAAAAGCAGCACCTATTTAGAGAAAAGTGACAACCCTCTCCTAAGGGAAAGACCTATCCATCAAAATTCAAATATTTGATAAATAATTTGTTCATGCAATATTTGGTACTCGTAGTTTTATATGATTCAAAATATATACAATTTAATAATAATAATAATAAATATTTATACTTCTTTTACATATGCCTATGTGTATTAGATGTTCATTTTTCAAAGATGGTGTAATGACTTATCCACCATCTAGGACAAAAGAGTGAGACAATAAGAAATTCAAATCATATGATCATATATACATATATACTTGCTCACTTGTTATGTGACAAGATGATCAATTATATCAAGGCTATAGATAAAGAATTTAAATTTCAAGGTTCAGCCCATCAAGCAAAAAGAGTGCATTGAATATGGATTGTGGTGAATATGTTTTACTCCATGAACTTTTAAAAAAGTTCATGGACTTTTGAAATCATAGACTTTTTTATGAGTGAATTATATTCTATTGACTTTTAAATTCATGGATAAGTTATAGACTTTCAAAAAGTCCATAGACTTTTAAATCCGGACCGCCGCTGTCGGTCACCAAAATTCTAGATCGCCGCTGTTGATCTGCCTTAATCTCACCGCCGTCTGCCGTCGCTGTCATCGGACTCATCCGTCACCAACAAAATAATTTGCAAAATAATTTGGTTATGCAAGGGATTTATGGGAAATTCATTATTAATCAATTAAATTAAGGGTAGAAATGTAATGTTTAGTATTATTTAAGGAAAATCAAACGTATGATCATATTTTGGGGAGAATGCTATGTTTTAGTCCTACCGTGAGTAATTTCCTCTGTATAATATGATAAGAAACTATTACATAAATAAATGAAACAAAAGTAATTCATCTAGCAACACAAAGTTCTACAAGATAAATGAGGCATAAGCATCCAAATTTATTTTTACTAATAAGAAAACTCAAAATTTCTAGAATGCTCAACAAACTCAGTCTCTTTATGATCAATTATTATAATCCGTATTACACAACTCAATTAGTCAGAACACTAATCGTTACACAAGCATTACACTCATTGCTACATTCGTACAAGCATAGTTACAATCGAGTTTTTCTTCTTAATAATTGTTTTCTTTTCATTTTTAGCTTGTTAAATATTTATTAATTTGAAATTATATTTTTATGTGTTAGCAGTTTAACGATGAAACACAATAATGGTTAAATTGTTTTTCTTAATGGTTAACTAACAACATATCATACTTGCACTGATATAATACTATCGATTCTTATATCGGTTCTTCAAAAAAATTCTGGAACCAAATCGATTTTGAACTAATGGTTCTTCAAATGGTTCCTAATTTTCTTTCAAGAACTGAACCAATCTCACCTCTACATTTTTCTTTGTAAGATGATATATAAAAAATCACTTTTTTTATTTATCTTTTGTATCAGTGTTTTTTTAAGTTTATCTTGTGTATCTTGTGTATCAATATTACTAAATAAACTCCTTGTTCAATTTTATTTATCGTAAAATGATAAAAAAAATCAGAATTTAATTTTCAAATCTTGCATAGTGAGACCATCCTGGTACCCACCTCCCAACCCGACTAGTGCCAGTCCTGGACCAGTTGGCAGATTTGTGATCCCGAATAAATAATAAGCCAAATCTAATGTTATTTTGCAACCAGATCTATGCATACTTGTGACGAGTAGAAGACAACAACAAAGTCCATGGAAATCTTTGGTGAGGAGTAGAGACAATTGTAGAGAATTAATGTACTAAAAATGAGTTAAAAGTCAACAAGAATCCGTGGTTTTAGAAGTGAATATTAATAAATGGAAGTTTGAATACGCTTAGATCTTTACAGACTTTTAAAAGTTTACATTGAATACACCTAGACTTTTTAAGACTCTTAAAAGTCTGCATTGAATACAACTAAACTTTTAAAATCTATGGAGTTTTAAAAATTTGTCACTAATTCCTAATGCAATACACCCCTAAGTGTCAAAATTATGGACTTCAACGTTAGCCATATTCACAACAATATTTCAGAAAACGCGTATTAATGAAATTGGAGGCTTCGGTTCCAAATGTGAATTCGAGGCATCCAAATACTTATACTCAGATCAATTGAATACTCATTAAATAATGTAATAAAGAAATTTCTAAAACTTACTACGTACTTAATACTGCACATGATTTAAAGAAACGCAACTCATTATAAAGCAATTTGAGTAAAAGAGAACTAAAAGGACCAACTAAAAATTTATTACTACTTCCATCCCCCTGTTATTGCCCCATTACGGTTTACGATGCTTGACCGACGATAAAACAAACGGATCCCTGTAAAAATTCAAATTATTTTAAGAAAAAAATTACTTATTTAGAAACTACATTAAAATTTTTACCAAGTCACAAAAACCACAATCAAATTTGATAAAAATTTGATACATAAAGTAAGAGATTAAGAGTGATTTGCGTTGACCAAGTGAATAGGAAATGAGACAATAATGGGGGGGGGGGGGGGCAGAGGGGGTAGTATATAATACTCGTATTATTTAAGAATCTACTGCCCCATAAATTGGGGGTCATATTCTGAATAACCTATTAAACACCCTAAAAACGTCCCTGATTTTTGTTGTGGCATAAGACATCCTTAAATTTCAAATTTACACCCATAAAATTTCAAGATTTTAGACTTCTTTGTTAGCCATGTTCGCAAGGGTCGCTGAAATCTTAACAAGTAACATGTAATAATGTACTCGTATATGTTAACCAAAATCAAATCGAATGTTAACCAAGTAATTGGACTGAGAATAAAAATGATGGAGAATAAAGTATATGTTCATCAAAATTAATGCGAAAATTATGTCGAAACGAATAGTAAAAACGAAGTATGTGTGAATAATTAGGGGTGTGCATCGGTATAAAACCGGACCGAACCGGACCCGGATTTGCAAGAAAATAGAAACCGAAAACCGGACAGGATATATTCCGGTTTTGAACAGGAACCGAACCGGTTTAACCAGTTCAAAACCGGAACCGGACCGGAAAATCGGTTTCTAAATTATTAATTTAATAACTAGCAAATACAACTTATGTGTTAATAAAAATAAGGGTATTTGTACGTGACTAGTAATATTACTATTACTATTATTATTTATTTAATTACTTTTATTAGTATTAGATAGCAAAGATTGAAGCAATT